GAATAATTTATGCTGCCTGTCGAACTCAGCGACGTTCAACCATTCCAGGTTCATGTATCCAACTCTCTTCGTAATCCCATTCCTAACCTAAGCCTTTTTCGGGAGTGGGTGAGATGGGTTAGAGCATGAATTTGCTGGCCGGAGGGTCCGCGGTTCTAACAAGACCTCTACATCTCGACTTCTCCCGTCAAGGCAACTTGGCAGTACCCCAGCCTTCATGCTTCCTTCGGGTAGGATGACAGATAAGTACTGAAAGGGTGTTACAACTCAACGAGAACCTACGCCTTTTAGTGGGATTTTTCTAATTAGCTAGAATTCCTCACTCCTCGTCCTTTTTTACTTGCCTATCTTTTACTGACAACCCATCATGGACTATACAATTCAACGTCCTCGCGATGCAAGCAACAAGGAGGGTTCTCTTCCTTTCTGAAGAATGCAAGTACTTCAGCCCGCCCGAATTCTCTTTTATGCACCCCAAATTCGCCTAGAGTACTGCTGTCATGCTTGTAGTGAAACTCTTTACTCATTCCTTCTCGGTTTCGTCATTTTGTTCCCAGATGTACAAGATGGGTGTCAAATAAGGACCAGAGATATATGGCAGGACCAAGTCAAGGAAAATTTTCAGTGAAGAGGTTGAACACAGTAGAGCAAATAGCCAATGCCTATCCCCGTCAGACGTGCAGTCTGACTGCATTCGACCGAGTATTGTACAATCTGGTGTGGAATCAGGTAAGATCAGAATACACATGTTACAGCCTTGAGGACTGCATTGCATGAAAAATTTATCGCTCTAAAGAAGTCGTGTTGGCCACAATGTAGACTATCCTTTTGATCACGTGGTTAACGATCGAAAATGGGAGTCTTTTTGGGTATTTAGCTGATAAAGTGCTCACCAGAATCCGCATACACCTTTGTTTCTGGTTCAACACATACACCGGAGTCATGCACTTCGGAAGTTGACGCTGATTGTTTCGTATGCGATTCACTCGTGCGTCGAAGGCCGCGCGACACAGGTTTGACAGATTTATCATGAGAATATTGAGAACGGAGACTAGGATTTATTGGTTTCCGCAATTCTTTTTGTGGCACTATCCTGCTTGAGCGTTCCCTAGTTCTATAACAAGTCCTATTTAGCACCGCAGTTGAACGACAGCCCTTTTCCTGTGACGATAAATCACGGCGTTTGGTAGTGTCTGTCGGGTGATCCTTCGAGCATCTGCTGGATGACGTCCGTCTTGTGGGATGCCGCTCAGGGGTAACTGACTTCTGTATGCGCGATAAACGAGTCTGGTGACGGGCACCTATGGTGTCTCTGGGAGTTCTCGAGATTCGATGTGCGGACTTTTCTTGGCGGCCGGACGGGACCGCTCTTGTCACTAATTGATTGAAGTCGTGATTCCTTCCTTGACTCCGTACGGGTTCCGCGTCTCGTTTCGATCTACTCGTTGAGACTTCGAATCGGGAGGGTAAACCATTGTAACATGATCGGGAGGTCTGACGCTTCTCGACGGAACCCGCAACCTGTGTGGATGAGGCAAGGCTGTGGGAGGAGGATGATGACGAAGACGAAGAAGACGAGCTGGAAGACACTGACCGTGAAGTACGGCTGGCTAACGTGGATACGGATGAATGAGACTTGCGTAACGGACCAGATATTCTTTCAGTTGACGAATAAGACGGGAGCACTTGCTTGGAGACAACATAATGAGGACTAAATTGTGGATGAGCTCGACCATTCTCTGGTAAACGGATGGAATGCAAGAAATTCATTATATCACTGTACAAAAGGGGTGCCACTGGGTTTAACACCTTTATTGGCGAATTGGAGGATGATGTGTTGCCAGGTACAGATTTGGTATCTGAAGAGTTGAACCTGCCGGACGCAAATAAAAGTTAGGATGATCAGAATAATAAACGAATGTAACTTAGAGGAGGTTCGAAAAAATACCACACGAAATGAAATTACGTTACTACACGTCCACGTATCAGCAGCGTTCACATGTCTGTTTAAGAGATGGCTGACACACGACACGGGGGGAGATGCCGAAATAGCAACACATTTTACCATTGAGTTTGATTAGACAAACGACTGTCAGGTACAAGCAGTCGACATCCCTGACACTGCTGTTACAATATCCACAAGAACCTAGGGGGCTTTGATTATGGATTGACCAACAGTTTAAAATAAGAGCACTGTGAAACATCTCACAGTTGCAGTAAGGACTGATGGCAATAGAGCGAGAAAAAATCGGATAAAGCAATATACGAGAACCTAACAATGACCGAATTCCAAAATACTTCCGCGCACAGCTTTTTTCACTGATATTTCACCCCCTAAGTAAATCCGGTCTATGCTAAAAAGCCAAGAAACACTGTACAGCTACAGGAAAGAGTAGAATGATTGGATTAAGGTCAAACAAAACGAACAAGCCTACCAAGTTGAACGGTTAATAAAATAACCGCGTTCGGTAATGAACTTCGATGACGGTGGAAAAATGGAAAACGATATCGGAAAATAGTACAGGACAACTGTCCGAATTCGCAAACAGCCCATTACCAATTTCGCTCCGTTTGAACCTACGTTAGGCCTACACCTCTAAGAATAAGTTAATCTGGAGTGAAGCTAACCGCACCCTTCAGTAACGATAGTGGCGTCTTATTCTGTCCATTTCCTAGGGTTTCGCCACCCAAAATAGTGCAAGGAAAGCAAGACTCCTCGGCAGACGGTAACTAGACAACGTAACACATGGTTCACCCACCTTAGCTTGCAGCCGCAGATGAAGTCCTTAGGTGAAGCAGCTACTGCTTCAGAGACCCGCTTTCTGATCACCTCGCTGATTCCAGCAGACTCAAGCTATAGTTCTGGGACATCGGTGGTCGAACACCTGAAGACGTTTTAGATCCTCCGCCATAAGTTACGAAGTTTTCAGCCCGCATTGTAGTCTGATACGTCCATTGAGCCAAACAAAAATGTCCTTTTAACGCCACAAGTTGCCCGAATTCGCAAACGCAATTCTAGCTTAGGAGATTCGCTCGTTGACTTCGTCTATCAAGCTACCGTCGAAGCTAATGCGACTTCCAATATACGTGTAGGGTTCCACAATTTTCTGTGTCACTTTTGAATTCTTAGGGGTACATGATATTGAAAGTAAACATTTTACGGAAACGATGATCATGTCAGGAATTGATTTTCTAGGTTTCCGGAGCATACATTTGTCCAACAGACAACAAACAAGACGAAACTGATGGTGGCTTGTCCGCGGATTTTAAGGAAATGCCCCATACTGTTTAATTGCGAGACAAATAAGCTCCATTGAATATCTTCGCAACAGGACCACGAGACAGTCTGCGTGCTGCACATTATGCGAAAGAATATCAACGGCCTATTAAACAAGAGGACCTCCATCCCGTCTCTAGCTCCAGCAGAAACACACAAAGAAGTGAGTAAATGTTCAGAATTGTCTGACATGATCGCAAGTGGCGTTTTTTTCACGCGGAACCTAAGAAAAACTAAGGACGCTAGTACACTAAGTCATGTGGCTTTGCCACTCTTCATACGGTCGACGATATCATCATAATCATTGACAACAATAGACCAGTAAAACGTACTGATGCTTGAATGTCATACAACCACGATGGAAGAACGCCCAGTAGAGTGGGAAAAAGAAGGAAGAATAGGGGGTTACTAAGAAGCCTAAGTCCCTAAGGAGACCTAGTAAGGAACACGTGCCGATAGCTTTGGACACCATTAAAGTAAACACATCTGCTCATGATGAAGTATGGCGCCATCTACTCAGCTTCCTTTGCGAACTTCGCTCGACCTAAGCCTAGCGCAAAACCGCAGGTGAACTTTAGGTAGACGGGCCAGGTAGGAGATTACAACATGCACGCCATTGGGAACGGTTGCGTGCCATGTCCTGTGGGGTTTCTCACTAAATACAAGCAGGATCACGCGGACCCCAGCCAGAAAGGCACGAAGATCCAACTGCACTCAGTTTGATAGGAGCCGCTTTCATTTCATCATCATCCTCATCATGCACGGCATGACGTCAGTGTTCAACACCGATGCTTCACTGCCGTACAATCATGATTTATTTGAAAACCTTATTGTGAAGAAAAGAATAAAAGTGTACAGGGAAGGGACTTCGTGTTATCTTACTACAATCATTCTGAGATTCCTACATCTCCAGGCAATCTGCACGGAACCTGACGACAAGAATACCACTGACATAGATTAACAGCCATATCTTTCGGTGTCCCCGACCAGGAGCAGCGGAAATCACGCGATTTCCATCCTGGAAGGCGAGTAGCACCGACAGCACCCAGACGTTTCGTAATCTCCTTCATACCCCTCTGCCAGGTCAAGGGTTGGTCGCCTCTCGGCTTCCGCCACCCTGAATTCGGAATCGGGCGTGGAGAACAGCAAGCACTCTACGGTAAACGGTAGTTCGGTATGCGCAATACATGGCCTAAGCAACGCAACTTCTGATGCTGGACACATTCTTCAATGGAAGTTCTCGTTGCACAACCGAAAACTCGCTTCCTAATCGCCTCGTTGAGTATTCTTCGATACCAACCCACATGGGCTATGGTTTTGAGACAACGAACAGCCAAAGGCGTCTCAGTTCCACTGCTCGAACAGGCCAAGTCTCACTGCCATGCAACAAAGCAGCCCGCATTACAGCCTGAAAGACACGTCCCTTGAGATTCAAGGATGTACCGCTTCGACGCCATAATTATCTCAAAATAGCAAACGCAAGTGAGGCCTTGCAGATTTGTGCATTGACCTGATTTGTTACAATATAAACAAAACCAGTACAACTTCCAAAATACGCAAAGCGCTCCACAGATTCCAGTGCCTCTCCCTGGATTGTAAGTGGCATGGTCAGTGACTGCATATCCACGAGCATGAACTTACACTTTGTGGGTTCAAAGTACATACTAAAGAACGGGGTGACTTTGGTCAGTTCATCCGAAAACACAAACGCTCTCTTCTCTTCGAAGACGAGAACGATATCGTCTGCATATTCCAGATTGACAAGATTTTCGTCACAGGCTATTTGAACATTGGGGTTTTGAAGACCTTCCAGTTTTCGTCTCAGTACCTCATCGACCACGAAATTAAGTAAGAATGGAGAGAGAGACAGGGCAGCTCCGACGGACACCGCTTTGTGTACGAAAGCCCTTGGAAAGCGCTCCGTATACTGTCACACGTGTGGAAGTGTGAGAATACAATTAATCTATTGTGTTCACGAAATTCCCGGGAATTCCTTGATGGGAAGGCGTATTAAGGAGAACATACCGGCCAACCAAGTCGAACGTGCCTTCGAAATCCACGAATACTAGAGTTATGGATCGTTTGTACGTGTAGCGTCGTAATCTAGTACCTGACGGAGTATGAGGATTCGGTCAAACCAATCCCCACCAAGCCGGGATCCCGCTTGCTGTCCTCAAGTCGGTGTTTCACGAGCCACCACAAGATGAAGCACAAGTCACCTCAGCAGCCCCGTCACAACCCGGATAAAGCTGACATCCCTGCGGTTACCACACTCACTACGAACCCCTCTTTTGAAAATCCACATTCCTCGCATGCTCACTTTCACTTGACGTCTGATAATTCGTCGGGTCAAGCTGTGTTCGGGACCAGTTGGGATACTTCTCCGAGCTTAAAGCAGTGTCACTCTTCGGTCTGACACAGTGTTTGAGTTAGCCTGGTGGCGCCGTGCCACACGCAAAACTCAGCAATGTGCAAAGAGGTGACAATCTCGTCCTAGTATGAATTCCCATTTGATGGTGGACACATTTGGAAGCGACTCTAGAAGAGGATTCTAGTAAGTCCGTCCGGATCTGTTACTAAGCGATTTGTCCGCACCTTACGCGGTCCTGAAAAACAAAGAGAGAACCGACTCCGGACAAGCGCGTGGTCGTAATCCACAAATGTGTTCCGAAACGACCGGCAGTCAGTTATTGATCCGCGCCATCGGTAACTGATGGCAATGGAATCCATTTGAGTTAATGGCTGGTACGCCGTTGAAGAACACCATGTGACTAGACGACTTCGGCTATTTCGGATGTCAGCACTGCATAAAAACAGCCTGCGGTCAAAACACAGCTAAAGAAATCGTTCAGCATTGTCCTTACGTACCGAGTCCTATCTGTGTCGACATCCTAATTGAGTCTCAGATGCTCTAAGCCTGCCCCGCTTGTACAACCACAACTGGCAATCACAACGATAGTTGAGCTTTGAGCTTGTCGCAAAAGGGCATTCAGGGCGTCGTAAAGCTTGTCTTTGATGGTGTCAGAGCTACAGTTCGTTGGGGCATAAGCAGACACGACAAACAGATATCAATCAACTTCCCACTTGTGGGACTCCTTCACAGAGGTTGCCAGGCGAAGCGCGCAGAGGCAACTATCAACGGGTATGTGGATCTACAAACAAACTCAAGCTCTTCATTGTGAGGTCTCAGAAAAGCACGAAGGAATGGGAAATCTTGGAGACTTTGTACTTTGAACGTGAGAATACATGCAAAAGCATGGGATCACCTCCGATATTATGGTCAAAGTACTTTGCGCGGACAAACAATCGTCAAACAACATAGCTGTCATCCGCATAATCCAAATCCGCCAAGCTTTCTCAAGTATGAGCACTCCACGATGACTTCAAGTACAAAATTGGACAAAAATGAGATGCGACAACCCTGATGAACTCCACTGATTGTCAGATAACTTCTGGATGGTTCATTGTACCCCATAACCCAACCGGATGTACGGGATTAAGGGGCACGAACAATGTCTAGATCGCAAGAAACAGAAGCGTTCGGCATGACAATGCAGCAGTTCAGAGCCTTATACTGTTGGTACAGAAGCACGTAGGCCTTTGTAAGGCTTGCAGGCGCTTGTAGCTCAGTCGTTGCTGGAAGCTCCTTACATAGATAAATGATGATAGAAGGACAACAGACACCCACACACTACAGAAAACCACGTGATGGAGCTAGGGCTGAGATTCGATCATCATATGACGTGCAATCAAATCCGGAGAAAAAGAGCATGAACACAAAAAATAAATCGGTACACTGAGAAATGAAACCGTGGATACAGCTCTTAAGATGGATATGTGGTGTAAATAAATTGTACTCTAATTAAAAAATGCAACCTAGCGGACAATAATACGCTATACCCACTTGGAACACAGCAACTGCATGCGAGATTTTAATTTGACTATTTCTCTCCGACAGGCACCAGCAAGACGGAAGAAATTATCGGTAAGCTGTTCATTCACCGAAATCAGACGAAATCGCTCTGTTTCGGAACGAGAGAGATGTGCAGTTAAAGTCTCCACTTCGGTCTCCAGGGCTGCACATTTTGTTTCGAGAAGTTGTGCTTGTTGACACTGCAGGGAGACACAGAAGTCCAAAAAATGACGAATTAGACGCGACCAAGCAGTGTACCCAAGCTACCTATATTCCACATTGCCAATAAACCATGTTTTAGGCGTGGAAACCTTGAGACAAAGGCCAAAACAACAGTGTCTAAAAAACCGTCTTCCGATCAGCTGGATATGAAACGTCCACTTTAAGTTACAAAGGGACGTAACGGATGAATTACTTTCCTATAACGAACTATGACACCAAATTTGTGAAAACTGATCAACAGAACTGGAGTAAACAACAATTGGGGTCCAGAAGTGCAGTGTTGATTGACGCTTGAAGCCGTGGTGGTATGCAAGGTTATTTCACTAACTATCAGGATAAGTTAACAATGTCACATTTTCTCAGGGGATACAGATCATAGAGACAGATATCCGTTGGTCTGTTTGTTGAGCTGGACAATTCTATCACAGACGTTTCATCACCAATCGAGGTAACATCATCAATGCGCTGTTAGGGAGCGTAGCGGACCATAGCAATGGGTCGGTAGCAGAGACATGTTCCAAGATCTGCATCTGCAGACTGTTACAACTAAAGCCACAGCGGCCTGCCCAGAGAGGGCTGGACAGGTTCTTGCTTGCGAAGAATTGAGCCGGTACCTTTTGTTCGCAATGGGGGGAGCTGTGCCAGCCTCTATCGAAACAAGTAAAGAAAGATGGTCAATGTTGAAACGAAGGTTCGTTAACCTTCAATCAATGTACTGCGGCTGACCTGGTGAATTTGTGGTCAGTAGCCCGCAAACTGTTCTATGGGCAAAAAAGAAAATTAGACTGAAACATTAAAACTAAACTAAAAATTAGCGGTAGCATCCAGTGTCATTCATATGCGCTAAATGTAGCCTTCCAAGCTTCGTTGGATTTGGGTTTTTACCGTCCGCTCCGGGTTTACTATGGGGGTTGATGAGAGCCTGGTGGAGGATGATAAAATTTGTCAGGGATAAGATAGTGACTAGCAACAGAGGTCTGTTCACCATCTAATGTCTTTGTGCTCAGTTAGCGCAACTGTTTTGTTTATCAGAAATCAAATGGATGTCTAGTTGAAAATAGATTCCGACTTAGTTGTCTTCGATGACCAGTTGTTACCAACGCATTACAAACCCTTTCAGTTGCTTTTGATTAGTTGTAAAGTTTGTAGAGGACTCATAAAGATCTAGACTGGGCAAATAAGCTTCGTAATCAAATCTAACGATATTCAAATAATGAATGGCGTGAGGCATAGCTACGTGCACAAACGAATTTTTTATAGCAGCGCAAATCCGTTTACAACTGACAGGCACATGCCGTCTAGATTGGTTAACAAACCCAACAGATACCTTTCGCAGATTCAAGGCGTCACCTGAGATCTACGTGGTTGGTGTCAGGCGTGATAGACGATGGCGGCTCTCTGGATATTTTGAGCATCATAGTCCCTCACTGTTACACTGTGAAGTTTCACGTCACCGCCCCTCCCACTGGTAAGCCCTAACCTGAATTCTGCGGGCATTAACGTGTTGTTCGAGGAAGGCTCCATTCAGATACAAGATACTGTAGACAATTTGATATAATCTGACGCCACTACGTGTTCCGTCACGAAGAGACTGGACCTTGTCGTGGTGTGGCGGTTTGTGTACCTCGGCGACCCATTGAGCTATACTGGGGGGTGTCCGCGCGACACTCACAGAGTCTCTCATACCAGGTTGGTCAATGGTTAGAGGTCTGACGAACACAGTCTCCTGGTCCTCCAGGTTGGGGGTTGGAACATGTATGGCGACTTGTTCCGTAGAAAAGGTAATGCATTTGCATTTCCC